CTAGGGGCGTTTTTTTTCCCGAGTGGTCAATATTTGAAAGGGGAAACTATGGGCGTTTTTTTTTCTCCCGCGTGATCAATATTTAATGGGGGAAACTATGGGCGTTTTTTGTCCCGAGTGATCAATATTTGAAGGGGGAAACTATGGGCGTTTTTTTTTCCCGAGTGATCAATATTTGAAGGGGGAAACTAGGGGCGTTTCTTTCTGAAGTGATCAATATTTGAAGGGGGAAACTATGGGCGTTCTTTTTCCCGAGTGATCAATATTTGAAGGGGGAAACTATGGGGGTTTTTTTTGCCCGAGTGATCAACATTTGAACGGGGAAACTATGTGCGTTTTTTTGCCCGAGTGATTAATATTTGAAGGGGGAAACTATGGGCGTTTTTTTTCCCGAGTGATCAATATTTGAAGGGGGAAACTATGGGCGTTTTTTGTCCCGAGTGATCAATATTTGAAGGGGGAAACTATGGGCGTTTTTTTCCCCGAGTGATCAATATTTGAAAGAGAAACTATGTGCTTTTTTCCCGAGTGATCAATATTTGAAGGGGGAAACTGTGGGCGTTTTTTTTCCCGAGTGATCATATATTGAAGGGGGAAACTAGGGGCGTTTTTTTTTCTCGAGTGATCAATATTTGAAAGGGGAAACTATGGGCGTTTTTTTTTCTCCCGCGTGATCAATATTTGAAGGGGGAAACTATGGGCGTTTTTTGTCCCGAGTGATCAATATTTGAAGGGGGAAACTATGGGCGTTTTTTTTTCCCGAGTGATCAATATTTGAAGGGGGGAAACTATGGGCGTTTCTTTCTCAAGTGATCAATATTTGAAGGGGGAAGCTATGGGCGTTTTGTTTCCCGAGGGATCAATATTTGAAGGGGGAAACTATGGGCGTTTTTTTCTCAAGTGATCAATATTTGAAGGGGGAAACTATGGGGGTTCTTTTTTGCCCGAGTGATCAACATTTGAAGGGGGAAACTATGGGCGTTTTTTTGCCCGAGTGATCAGTATTTGAAGGGGGAGACTATGGGCGTTTTTTTCCCCCGAGTGATCAATATTTGAAAGGGGAAACTATGGGCGTTTTTTTTCCCGAGTGATCAATATTTGAAGCGGGAAACTATGGGCGTTTTTTTTTTTCTCCTGAGTGATTATTTGAAGGGGGAAACTATGGGCTTTTTTTTGCCGAGTGATCAATATTTGAAGGCAGAAAACAATGGGCGTTTTTTTCCCGAGTGATCAATATTTGAAAGGAGAAACTATGGGCGTTTTTTTTCCCGCGTGATCAATATTTAACGGGGGAAACTATGGGCGTTTTTTGTTCCGTGTGATCAATATTTGAAGGGGACATCTATGGGCGTTTTTTTTCCTGAGTCATCAATATTTGAAGGGGGAAACTATGGGCGTTTTTTTTCCCCGAGTGGTCAATATTTGAAGGGGCAAACTATGGGCGTTTTTTTCCCGAGTGATCAATATTTGAAGGGGGGAACTATGGGCGTTTTTTTTTCCCGAGTGATCAATATTTGAAGGGGGAAACTATGGGCGTTTTTTTTTGCCCGAGTGATCAAGATTTGAAGGGGGAAACTATGGGCGTTTTTTCTCCCGAGTGATCAATATTCGAAGGGGGAAACTATGGGCGTTTTTTCTCCCGAGTGATCAATATTTGAAGGGGGAAACTATGGGCGTTTTTTTCCCGAGTGATCAATATTTGAAGGGTGAATCTATGGGCGTTTTTTTTTCCCGAGTGATCAATATTTGAAGGGGGAAACTATGGGCGTTTTTTTTCCTGAGTGATCAATATTTGAAGGGGGGAACTATGGGCGTTTTTTTTTTTCCCGAGTGATCAATATCTGAAGAGGGAAACAATGGGCGTTTTTTTTTCCCGAGTGATCAATATTTGAAGGGTGGAACTATGGGCGTTTTTTTTCCCGAGTGATCAATATTTGAAGGGGGAAACTATGGGCGTTTTTTTTTCCCGAGTGATCAATATTTGAAAGGGGAAACTATGGGCGTTTTTTTTTTCCCGCGTGATCAATATGTAAAGGGGGAAACTATGGGCGTTTTTTGTCCCGAGTGATCAATATTTGAAGGGGGAAGTTTTGGGCGTTTTTTTTTCCCGAGTGATCAATATTTGAATTTGGAAACTATGTTTTTCTCAAGTGATCAATATTTGAAGGCGTTTTTTTTTTCTCCCGAGTGATCAATATTTGAAGGGGGAAACTATGGGGGTTCTTTTTTGCCCGAGTGATCAACATTTGAAGGGGGAAACTATGGGCTTTTTTTGCCCGAGTGATCAGTATTTGAAGGGGGAAACTATGGGCGTTTTTTTTCGCGAGTGATCAATATTTGAAGGGGGAAACTATGGGCGTTTTTTTTCGCGAGTGATCAATATTTGAAGGGGGAAACTATGGGCGTTTTTTTTTTCCCGAGTGATCAATATTTGAAGGGGGAAACAATGGGCGTTTTTTTTCCCGAGTGATCAATATTTGAAGGGAGAAAACAATGGGCGTTTTTTTTCCCGAGTGATCAATATTTGAAGGGGGAAACTATGGGCGTTTTTTTTTCCCCGAGTGATCAGTATTTGAAGGGGGAAACTATGGGCGTTTTTTTTCCCGAGTGATCAATATTTGAAGGGGGAAACTATAGGCGTTTCTTTTCCCGAGTGATCAATATTTGAAGGGGGGAACTATGGGCGTTTTTTTCCCGAGTGATCAATATTTGAAGGGGGAAACTATGGGCGTTTTTTTTCCCGAGTGATCAATTTTTGAAGGGGGAAAATATGGGCGGTTTTTTTTCTCGAGTGATCAATATTTCAAGGGGGAAACTATGTGCGTTTCTTTTGCCGTGTGAACAATATTTTAAGGGGGAAATTATGGGCGTGTTTTTTTTCCGAGTGATCAATATTTGAAGAGGGAAACTGTGTTTTTTTTTTTTTTTTTTTCTCAAGTGGGCGTTTTTTTCCCGAGTGATCAATATTTGAAGGGTGGAACTACGGGCGATTTTTTTCCGAGTGGTCAATATTTGAAGGGGGAAACTATGGGCGGTTTTTTCCCGAGTGATCAACATGTGAAGGGGGAAACTATGGGCGGTTTTTTTTCCCGAGTGATCAATATTTGAAGGGGGCAACTATGGGCGTTTTTTTTCCCGAGTGGTGAATATCTGAAGGGGGGAACTATGGGCGTTTTTTTTTCCCGAGTGATCAATATTTGAAGGGGGAAACTATGGGCCTTTTTTTCCCCGAGTGATCAATGTTTGAAGGGGGAAACTATGGGCGTTTTTTTTCCCGAGTGATCAATATTTGAAGGGGGAAACTACGGGCGTTTTTTTTCCCGAATGATCAACATTTGAAGGGGGAGAAACTATGGGGGTTCGCAGCCTGGGGTGAGCTCTTCATAGCAACGTCGGGCCCGTGGCGCGACGGGGTTTCTTGCAGACCGTCGCGCCAACAAACCCTGTGGGCTTCTCAGGGACTTTCAGGTTTTTAGGTTTGTTTTGTTTTTACGGTATTTAGGGTTTTGGGGTTGCTGGGGTTTGTAAGGTTTCGAGGGTTTTTCAGGAATTACAACGATGAGAAGCGGCCGGATGGCGATGAGCTGGCCGACTCTTGCAAAGGAGGCAGGGGGGCTTTGCGCTCAAGGTTTAGGGTTTAGGGTTTAGGGTTTCAAGGTTTCGGTGGCCAGCCCCAAACACCCCCTAACACACAACAAAACCTCCAAACCCCCATAGATCCCATGGGTTGTTTCATGTCGCCGTGGAAAATCCTGAAGTCCTGAAATCCTCCAAAGCCTGGAAGCACCAAGAGAGGCGGCTTTCACAGCATCCTGGGCGATCGCGAGAAAATCCGCGGAACGTGCGGGCCCTTGCAGGTTTCGGCTGCTTTCTGCTTCCTTTTCGCTTGTATGAGTGCGACACTTTGAACGTGGGAGAAGGCGTGAGTTTACGGGTTTTGCCCAACCAACACCCAAAACCCTAAACACGAAACTCTCAATCTCAAATGTTTGTGAATCTCTAGGAAGGTGGGCACCCTTAACGCTCAAGCGCGCGAAGGTATCGGGAGATCGTGGTTTTCAACGAGAACCAGGTGTATCCTGCTTTTTGGCAGCCCAGTGGCATCCTTTTGCCCAGTTTTGGGCTTCTGAGGGTTTGTAGGGGTAACCTCACTTGTAAGAATATGGCTGCAAAGCTACCAAGGCTTACATTTGCCGCTATCGGCGGGTCCAAAAGTGAAGCCGATCTGGTACCATACTACTGCGCAGCCTGCTGAGATCAAAGATCATTTTGCACGGCTCGGCGCTGAAAAAAAAAGGATTGTGGGGACGGCCAGAAGACCCCATTCAAGAGTGGGGTTGACCTAAACTAAAATGGGCCCTTCCTTTCATGAAGGGTGCACAAATACATGCCGTCACATCTTGTGCTACATGGTGCCCGTAGTAAAGACACTCGACCCCTCGCTAAGCCGGACTCAGCTTCTCCGCCTCCAATGAGTTCTTCACAGTACTCAAAAAGCTGCAGTGACCTCGACGCAAAAGTCCGCAACGCCACAGCCTACATCCGCATTTGCAAGCCCCCCTAAGCGCCCATTTGCGTAATGTTGATGCAAAGCAAAGCTTGGACATCTCATGAAGTGCCAACCCAGAAAACTGCAGTGCAAATGTAGCCGAGATCCCGATGAGACATGGAGGACTTGACACTTGCATCTGATGCCGTGGTAGTAGTGGTAACAGATTTTATACATCTTGTTTGAGAGAAATAAGGGAAGTCAAGTGCTTGCTCATACTTTCAGCAGAATGCTTGGGTCTTTCTGAAGACACGCAGGAAAGCTACTGTCCATTCGGCAGCACCGGGCTCTAGCTGCTTTGCACTCCCCGGCTGAACGCTCCGATATGAGGGCTTACGAAAATAGGGGGTACCTTACTGGATCCTACTAGTTGGGAATCTATATTGGGGGTCCCTTATTTCCTTACACCCCACATGGGCTGCGCTGTCGCAACCTCCGCTCCAAGGGCCCAATGGCTAAGCTGCTGACCGACTCGAGCGTCAAGGTGCGCGCGACCATCCATCAAATCTTGGAGGTGGATTTGCGCGAGGAGACCTTCACTGCCGAGGCTTCAGGGTTTGCACCTCAACCCCTGAGCACATGAACCGAAGCCTTCGCAAGAACACCCCCCCCACTCCCCCCACCCCCCAGCCTCTGAATAGAAAAGCCCCAAGAAGGCTCCAAAACATCTCTGGAGTGGGAGGTGGATGTCTTCATGCGATGGGTGGACCCACGCCTGGCAAACTGGCGGACGCGCGTCTGGCTCCATCGCAGCAACCCGCCGCGCCTCGCGACGAGCTGCGCGGAGCGAGGAGCGTGCGTCTGCGGCTGGGGCCAGCAAGGCTCATGCAGCAAGCTGCCCTTCGTGGAAGGCCATGGGGGAGGGGGCCAAGGGAGAGGGGAAGCAGGAGGGCATGAGGGTGGGAAGCGCCCCAGCGCTTAATTATCTCCCAAACCCCAAGCTCTCAGCCCACAAGGTTGCTTCGAGGAGCGAGGAGGAAGGCACTACATCAGCGTAGGGCGAGAAGCAGGGCGCCCAGCCTTGGTGGGTTTCGAGCTTAGGGCTTAGATTCGGATTTAGGGTTTAAGGTTCAGGATTTGCAGGGGCTGAGGTTTAGGTCTAGATCTAGTTCAAGTTGGCAGTGGACGGCATAAGGTTGAGTGTGACGTTGTGGGCGGGGTACTTGTGCCTGAGCTGCTGGAAGCCTAATCTTCCGGAACCCCGAAACCCCCAAAGCCCCCAACCCCCCCCCCCCCACCACCCCAAACCCCCCAACCCCCCTACCCCCTAACCTGCCCCGAAACCCCCTTCCCCCACCCGCCCGGCCCCCCACCAAAACCCGTTACCCCAAGTGCTTGCCCTGTGACTACAGGAACCCTGGGAGCTGGAGACGTTCAGCTACTTGGTTGCTGAGTGGATTGCCGGGGGAAGTGGGTTCAGGGTTTGGGGTTTTAGGGTTTTAGTGTTTTAGGCAAGTTTCTTGACTTAGGAATTAGGGAAACAGGGCAACGCCCCAAAGGGCTAGCAAGGCTACAAGGAGGAGCCTGCGTTTGAGCACTTCGACCAGTTGGAGGCCATGAGCAGCACGCTGGTCCTCTCCAAGCTCCTTGGGCTTAGGACGAGCTTCGGTCTTTTTGGGCTTTAGGGTGTTAGGGAGGTTTAGGGTTTAGGGTGTAGGGTTTGAGGTTTAGGGTTTAGGGTGTTCCAGGGCTTCGCCTTTGTGTGGCCAAGGTTAGTTGAGGAAGCTACGCTGCAGCTCGGATGACATCAGGGGCTCCAGAACAGGAGAGGTCAAGGGTTTAGGGGTTGGGGTTCAGGGTTGAGGGGTTTTGGGGGTGGGGTTTAGGGTTTATGTAGGGTTTAGGGTAGGATGCCACCTCAGCCAGGGGTACGGCGGACAGTCTCGCCGATTGACAGACCCAAGAGTTTAAGTTCACTTGAAGTTCTACTTCGAATATCACACAGGCACCTCAAGACACATCATGGCCTTCTGTTGGGGCCTGTGTTGTGAGCATGTCCTGGTCCCACTATCTACCAGCCATAGGAAACATCCAGCATATGCTGCCAATGATGCATTCCAAGCGAGCCTGCGACCTGTAGGCTGTAGGCTCATCTGCCAAGCATCGAAGTGGGCAACACCGAGGCTTGCACGGCATCTGCGGCTGAGCAACGGCCGAACTGGCGAAGTCGTTCTCTTCAGGCATCCAAGGGTAACTAGTGCTTGCCCCAATTGCCCTAAACCTAAAACACCCTAAACCCATAAGCCGGTCCTTCTTGGGTACCAAGAGGCTTAGCAAGCTTCCCCCCAGTCGATCCTCAGTTGCTCACCCTGCAAGGAAGTTGCTCGCCAAGTTCAAGGACCCCAAGAATTACGGGTTCTCGTAGTAGTACTGTTTAGGGTTTAGGGTTTAGGGTTTAGGGCCTCCTGTTGTGGGGAATTAGGGAGCTGGAGTCCCTATATAGCCACTTCAAGGGGGGAACATATGGGGAGTTAGCAGGTGGCGAAGAACCAATGAGCTTTCTAATGCTCCTGAGCGAAGGGTTGGGGGTTTAGGGTATTAGATGCATTCCTTGCTTTTTGACTCCCGCGTGTATGCACGTATACAAAAAGTATAAACAAATAAATAAACAAATAAATAAATATTTCTGTAAATAAATAAAAAAAATATATATATATATATATATATATATATATATTGGGTAACCACCCCCCAAGACCAACCTCCCGTTTTGTTGTTCCAGAGGCTCCAGAATGCGAATGGCTTCACATTTCTACTTGTGGTGTACAAAGCGTGATTTTATTCAAGTTGGATTGGCTGCAGGCTTTGCAGGCAGTTCCTCCACGACCCAGGAACCCGCTGCTCTGGATTCTCTATGTGAAGCGCTAAGGCCCCTGCACATATCCTAAATCGCGCTCAAACCCTATTCACCCCTCCACTTTACTCCATGAAAGCTCCAAGAAGCCTACAAGCCACTGACAGGCTCCGCAAAGGGAGACCCCACCCTGCTTTCTCTGTAAAAAATAAGAAAGCCCCCCTTTGGGGGGTTTGGGGGGTGAACCCTAAACCCTAAATGAGAATAGTTTGGGTGGTTGGGGTGGGACTACATGCTAGCGCAAGCGAGCGGCCCGGGTGCTTTTAGCACCAGCGAGCTTCCCTTCTACACACCCTAAACCCTAAACCCTAAACCCTAAACCCTAAACCCTCAACCCTCAACCCTCAACCCTCAACCCTCAACCCTCAACCCTCAACCCTCAACCCTCAACCCTCAACCCTCAACCCTCAACCCTAAACCCTAAACTCTCTCTATCATATAATAATTTAAACCTTAATGGGGAACGTGGCCATTGGCAAAAAAACCGTGGCCATTGGCAAAAAAGCCGTGGCCATTGGCAAAAAAGCCGTGGCCATTGGCAAATTCGCCAATGGCCACGGGAAAGTTGCCAATGGCCACGGCTTTTTTGCCAATGGCCACCAATGTCATTAAGGTTGGTCGCCAAAATGGGTTTTTCAAACCCAATTCGCACAAAATGCCCCCCAACCTTAATGGGGAACGTGGCCATTGGCAAAAAAGCCGTGGCCATTGGCAAGTGGCATTTGCCAATGGCCACGGGAAAGTTGCCAATGGCCACGGCTTTTTTTCCAATGGCCACGGCTTTTTTGCCAATGGCCACGTCTTTTTTGCCAATGGCCACGGTTTTTTTGGCTTTTTTCCCCCCCCCCCCCACCCCCCCCCACCCTCCCCCCACTCCCCCACTCACTCCCCCACTCACTCCCCCCACTCACTCCCCCACTCCCCCACTCCCCCACTCCCCCACCACTCCCCCACTCCCCCCCACTCCCCCACTCCCCCACTCCCCCACTCCCCCACTCCCCCACTCCCCCACTCCCCCACTCCCCCACTCCCCCACTCCCCCACTCCCCCACTCCCCCACTCCCCCACTCCCCCACTCCCCCACTCCCCCACTCCCCCACTCCCCCACTCCCCCACTCCCCCACTCCCCCACTCCCCCACTCCCCCACTCCCCCAAAAGTAGGATGCTAGTTAAACACGCTCGGTCCCCAAAAAAGGCAGGATGCTAGTTGAGTACTCTCGGTCCCCAAAAGGCAGGATGCTAGTTAAACACGCTCGGTCTCCAAAAAGCAGGTTTCTAGTTAAACATGCTCGGTCCCCAAACAGCAGGATGTTAGTTCAACACGCTCGCTCCCCAAAAAGCAGGATGCTAGTTGAACACGCTCGATCCCCAAAAAGCAGGATGCTAGTTGAACACGCTCGGTCCCCAAAAAGCAGGATGCTAGTTGAACACGCTCGGTTCCAAAAAGAAGGACGCTAGATGAACACGCTCGCTCCCCAAAAAGTAGGATGCTAGTTGAACACGTTCGGTCCCCACTCCCCACTCCCCCACTCCCCCACTCCCCCACTCCCCCACTCCCCCCACCCACCCCACCCCCCCCACCCCACCCCCCCCACCCCCGAGAACGAGCAAGCAGAACGAAGACGAGCAGAGAAATACGAGCAGAGAGAGAACGAATACGGGTAGTTGGTTCTAGGGTGGGTTGGGATTGGCTCGAACTGGAATGGTTCGAGGGTGGGGTGGGGGAAAACAAAACATGAGGTTAACAAAATTAGGTTTTTTGTCAATCCGGACCAACACTTGTTGTTCTACTTTCGGTCTGGGGAAAGCAAGCGCGAAGACAAGGGACATGCGACAAAGCCGACGAGCACGAAGGCAGAATGAATAAATGAGGTTGGAGGACAGGGCTTGCTGAGGAAAAATGTGAACTTTATATTTCTTAATGTTTTGGGATTCTCTGGGTGGGTGGGTTTTTTTTCTAGAGTCCAGACAGCGGCTCTACTAGAGATTGCTCGACCCAGAGCTGCTGAACCCTAAACCCTAAACCCTAAACCCTAAACCCTAAACCCTAAACTCAAGGCCCAGGCCGCCCCCTACGTTGGGGGGCGGCGCCTAAGCCCCTCGACCTCGATGGCGCAAGCCGTGTCCGGGGGTGTCCGGAGGGTCCGGGGTGTCCGGGGCGTCCGGGCAGTCCGGGGCCGCACCCGGACGCCTCTGCGACGTCGATCGTGACGTGGGTCCGGGCCCCCTCATCTGGCAGGCCCCATCTCTGTCGGGTCCTCGCATGAGCGCAAGGACTGCCCCGACTCTCGGATTCAACCAACATCATGAAACTGAATAAGTTTTGAAAAGTGGACTGTTGTCTGAGTTTAGGCCTAAACCCTAAAAGGAATAGGTTTGGGTGGTTTTGCCGCCTTGGACGGCGTGGGGTGGGAGAAAAGTGTTAGATGGCCCTCCACAATCGGGCCAAAGCTGCTCTTCGGCACCTCACGAAGCTTTCGAGCTTGTTTCGCAACCTAACCTTCACAGCATCTACGCCCTATCACAGCAAACCCTAAACCCTAAACCCTAACCCCTAAGCCCTAAACCCTAAACCCTAAACCCTAAACCCTAAACCCTAAACCCTAAACCCTAAACCCTAAGCCCTAAACCCTAAACCCTAAACCCTAAACCCTAAACCCTAAACCCTAAACCCTAAACCCTAAACCCTAAACCCTGAACCCTGAACCCTGAAACCTGAACCCTAAACCCTAAACCCTAAACCCTAAACCCTAAACCCTAAACCTTAACCCTAAACCCTAAAACCCTAAACCCTAACCCTAAGCCCAAAGCCACAGGCAGTTGAGTGCAGCTCTAGCTTCCAACAGGATCGTTCGTGGCTTCCACATTTGCCCTGAAACCCCAGAACTCTCAGCCTCAACGACCCCTCAAACCCCAGCTCCAAACCTTGAACTGTCAACCCTAAACCCCTAAATCCACCCCTAAATCCGAACTTGCTGAACATGGCAGACCGGGAGCACCGCAGGAGAACATGGAACTGCTGCGCTTCCCATTCGACCGCCAGCTCCTTCAGTTTTCTCTGACCGCTGCGGTGCCTTCCAACGCGCTCACGCTGGAGGCCCTTGCGGCCTTTCAGGGGTCCGGAATTTTCGGGTCACCAGCACAGACCCCACGAAACATTTAGAGTGCATGCGGCTCTATCGCTGTCTATGGGGCTTCTTCGGGTGCTGATAGGACGTGTAGGGCTTAAGGCATGTGAGGGAAACCAGGATGCGACCGTCTCAGGCCTCAGTTTAGGGCCAGAACTGGTTGAGCCTCTCCCTGCAAACTGAGTTGTCCAGCAACCATAGTAAAACCTTTGTGTGTCAAGCACCAAATGTACTGGTGACAAGAGTGCCCCAACATCCCCCAAACCCTCCACAATCCTAACCCCACCAAGGTTCGGCCCTCTGAGATTTCGGGATTTTCATTTCTGTTTTGGGGGTTGGGGTGGGGGCAAGGGGGGGGGGGGCGGGGCAGGCAGAAGAGGAGCCGAAGAGCTCGTGCAAGATCAAACACTTGCCGGAGTATGAGGTCGATCAGGCCCCTGGGCTTCTATAGGGTTCATATGTTAATTTCTGTTTATATATACAGGCAATCCTTTAATTTTCGTTTTGTCCTCTCGAAATCTGGGTGGATCCCCGACCCCATGCTTACAGTTTGGTTGGGGGTTGGGGTGGGCGGGTGTGCGTGCCAAGCCTTTTGATGCCTTTGGGCGTGATTTCGGTGACTACCTGAGGCGGAGTTCTAATGAAAAGTGGGCTGTTGAGACCTATAACCCTAAAGCCTAAACCCTAAACCCCAAACCCCAAACCCGAAACCCAAAAACCCCAAACCCTAAACCCTAAACCCTAAGCTTTATCTTTGGGCTCGGCCACTTTGGAATTCGCAAGTTCTGAAAAGCCGTCCGGCGCGGCGGCGCGCCATCTCGTGCGCCCGTGGAGTGAATGTGATATCGGCTGTGTCTATACCATAAAGAGAGCAAAGAGAGAGAGAGAGAGAGAGAGAGAGAGAGAGAGAGAGGAGAGAGGGAAACAGATTTTAGTGGTTACAACTGTGAAAGAATTGTGAAAACATGGTGAATCCATGGGGAGTTAGTTGATCGTGAACAGAATGTGAAAATGAAATTCTCTTTGCAAATCACGCATACATTTTGTGGTTTTCTTAAAGCCTTGTTAATTATCTTAACATTGGGGCAAAAGACGCCCTCATTTCCATCTTCTGTTCCTTTCCTTACTGTGTGATACTGAAATTCCCGCGCGGTGTAGTAATTTAGTATCGCGGGTCCTACAGCATGAATACTATGGCAAACTCGTGCGCGTAGAAATATTAATAGTGTACGAACGAAGTGCATCTGTCCCGTTCGTTCGTATTCTTTTATTGCAGGGCTATATGTGCGCGTGTGCTTTTAATGCTTATTTCTCTACCCTTTCACGCTTATGGAACTTTTTTCACCTTCCTCTGAGAAATATTTCACCATCCATTTCCAACATCACTATATATTCACAGAACAGATCACATTCAACTCACAACAACATGATTGTGCTACCACCCATCGGTTGCCCGACCCGCCACCCTTAAGACTAATGGTAGTAAGATGAGTAGGAGTAACAAGGACCGCAAAAAATATGTTAGGAGAGAGATATGTTAAGAGAGAGAGAGAGAGAGAGAGAGAGAGAGAGAGACCCCCGAAACCGGAACCACAGACAGAGGCCCCCAGGACCGTGCCCCGTATACATACGGTTTAGGGTTTAGGGTTCAGGGTTTAGGGTTGTAGGAGCGGATCTTAGACTTAGATGCAAAATGTTTTCGGCCCCCCCCCCCCCCCCCCCCTTTACCCTGAACCTTAGCCCTAGCAACCAAGAACCCAAGAACCCGAGAACCCTGATCCCCTGAACTCTACACTCTAAACCCTATCAGCCCTAAGCTCTACACCCTAAACCCTAAACCCTAAACCCTAAACCCTAAACCCTAAACCCTAAACCCTAAACCCTAAACCCTAAACCCTAAACCCTAAACCCAAAACCCTGAAAAGCCTTAAACTGCGCTCAGCCCTGCGAAGCAAGGGCCGCATCGACGATGTCGGCATCGCCGAAGCGAGGCTCACTGGAAATCCGACTGGGCAGAAGAAGTACTGGCAGGCCGGGATTAGGGTTTAGGGTTTAGGGTTTAGGGTTTAGGGTTTAGGGTTTAGAGCTTAGGGCTGATAGGGTTTAGAGTGTAGAGTTTAGGGTTGAGGAGTTTAGGGTTTAGGGTTTAGGGTTTAGGGTTGAGGAGTTTAGGGTTTAGGGTTTATAGGGCTTGGGTTCAGAGCAAGGTGTAAGAGGATTTCCAGTTTGGGGCTGGCGGTGTCATGTTTCTACACTTGCCTCCCAGAACCCCAAACCCCAAAACTCTAAGGCCCGCACACTGAACCCTAAACACCTAACCTCCTAACCCGTAAACCCTAAACTCCCAAATTCCAAGCCCTAAGCCCCCAGAAGCCCAGCAGCTCAATGCCCTCTTTGGGGAGTACCCCAAGCTTAGTAGCAGAGTAGGTAACCTTTGACCTTTTTTGGGGTGGTACATGCCGCTTCCTTAGAAGAACCCAAAAGTTAGCCTTTAGTTCTTCTAGGATGCTGGACAACCCCTAAACCCGAAACCCCAAACCCTAAACCCTAAACCCCAAACCCTAAACCCTATATCCTAAACCCTAAACCTTTTGCAAGTTCACTTGTTCAGTCCTTAGGGCCTGCAGTGCCTCGTAGGGAGCCGGCATCTCCTAAAATCGCTGGAGAGGTTGAGGTTGCCCTCCTCTCTTCCCTGCTCAGACATTGGAAGTACGTGGACCCTAGAGCCTGAAGCCTAAAGCCTAAAGCCGAAAGCCCAAAGCCTAAAGCCTAAACCCCAAAGCCTAAAGCCTAAAGCCTACAGCCTAAAGCCTAAAGCCCAAAGCCTGAAGCCTAAAGCCTAAAGCCTAAACCCTAAACTTCCAAAGACACCGGCGGCCACCCCGGAAGGTGAGGTTTGCCATTCCTGTGGAACGCAATCCTGGGAAGGTCGCGGCTGGTAGCGAAGCAAGGGAAGGGCTTGGGCGTAGTCGGGTCAAAGATTGTGCGGACGTTGAGACTGGATTTGTGTTGCTTCAAAGCTTCCGCTAGTCAGGGGAGTCGCTGGCAAATTTGTCCCGCATACTTTAGGTCGTGGAACTTCCACGACCCTGACCCATCTGGGGAGGAATCTCACGGGCCTAAGCTGTGAGCCTAAACCAAGCTGCCCTGCAAGTACATGGTGAACATCGGGCTCATGCTCTGGATTCTGGTGGTGGCCTCTTTCAGCAACTTCACAGTGAGGGTCGATGCGCCAGGCTCTGGTTTCAAAGCAAAACATATGGAGGCCCCAGCGTATTTGCCCTTCCCGAAGCGACCCTCTGTACCCTAGATGCCAGAAGCTAGCGCCTTGACCCCCAAGCTTTTTCTGCTCCCTAGCGTCCCTCTGAGCTGACCGCATGGCCATCATCGTGACCTTCATCCTTACAAGCATGGCCATGAAGTACCTCATCAATGACCAGCTGCCTGGCAAGTCATACCAGACGAGCCACGGCTGCAGACAAAGTATGACCTGGTAGCCCTTAACCTACAAACCCTAAACGATATTAGCCCTAAACCCTCACCAGCAAATCGCTGAATCCTTACTCCTGCAAAAGCATGACGCTGGAGCCTGAATGATTCCCAAAAGCATCCACTTCGAATCCTTGTCTGCTAAAACAGACGACTACCCAAAGTCTCATTCTACTTCAGCCGGCCTGTAGCCCTGAACCCTAAACCTTACAAACCAAACCCTCAGCCTGCTGTTTTTTTGGTTTTTGGGGCTTACGGTTCATCACCGGACTTGACGTGTCCCACGCCGCTGAGGTGGCTGGACCTGTACCTGCTGGCATCCTACGTCTTTCTGAGCCTCCCTGCCCTCTGGGTCATTGGCTTGTGGGTGTGGTTTGGCGATCTCACAAAGCTCGACGACGTGGACTTGCAGGCCTAAGGCCCTAAGCCCTCAACCTCACCCAGAAGACGTAAGAAGCGAACGCACCTTTGTCCTCAAAAGCCGAAAAGTTTCGAGAGCTGGAGAAACCAAGCGCAAAAAAAAAACGTGTTACCAATCCACATCTTTGTGATTCTTTACTAACAAAACGTTTTTTCAAACATGTTTCTTCACTCTGCGGGGGGGGCCTCTCTTTCGCGCTCCTCGTTAAAAGGAAAGAGCGAGCAGAGCGACTCAGGGAGAGCCAGGGTCTGAGTCAAAGCAGAGTTGGGGGGAGGAGCCCAAGGAGAGAATGGAAAGGAGAAGGGAGGCACACAAATATATTTTGGGTTTAGGGTTTAGGGTTTTAGGGTTTAGGGTTTAGGGTTTAGGGTTTAGGGTGTAGGGTCCCTTTTCTCTCTCTTTTGCTTACCTCTTGCAATTCCCGAGAAGTGGCCCCCCCCCGGAGAAGACCTCAGAGAGGCCCCAGCGAAGAAGTAGGAGCTCTTTGCAAAGAAAACTGGCCCTTCGCGATGCTTCCTCACGAAACCAACCATACACGTAACCACACTTCCAGGGCCTTCTGGGGGGAGATCTCTCATATGCAGGCAGCGGTTGAGCCAGTCGAGTCGAGATTCCAGCTGCCTGGAGCTTCATCATGAGCGTTTACTTCAGGGCCCTTCTCAGGACTGAAGTCCGTCGAATCATCTTCGTTGAATTCCGCATCAAACTCAACAGCTCGGGCTTTCTTGCCAAGGGGTCTCTGATGGTCTCTGACGACAATGCGCGGCATACGTTTGTGGTGCTTGCAATCCTCTTCTCTCCTCGTCTTCTGTTCTGCCAAACCACCTCCTTCGTCAGGTCGTTCTTCCACGCCTACGGTGTACCTACATCCCTCCTGCCTTCATCCCATCCACACACACTCATCAGTTGACAACACATCCGAGGATTCTTGCCAACTGCCAGTCCAAACGCAGGTGCCGGTTGAGGAGATCTTTCAAGCCTGGGCAGCTTAAACAAGCCATACAGGCAATTGTCTGGAACTCCTTGCGCATGATTCGGCCCCACTGTTGCGATGGCGGAGATACCTTTCGCAAACTTCGGGTGACCTTTACTTCGATGTGGTTCGGCCAAGCTGAAGTAAAGGGTTTCACACATTGCCAGTCTCCCAGTGTACTTCACATGGAACGCTCGTTCACGCGGTGTGGCACCCCCTGCAAGTTGTTTGTGAACTCTGGCTGCATGAAGTTCGTGAATGTAGCGCCAGGGCACCACACTTGCATTGTTTCGCGAAGCAAAGCTCACACTTACCTGCTGCAACAACGTGCGCCCCGCATCCCTCAAACTCGTGACCGTTTGTCCTGCAGCCACGTTGGCTTGATGCTCAGAAGGTTGAGACGGTGCCTTCCGAGTTGCCAAGCCTGCTTTCACGATCTTGTCCGGATAGCCACCATCAGCGGCTCGTACTTCAGTGCGTCCTCAATAGGATCTGAATGAGAGGACTTCTTTGTCTAACGCCCCTCCTTCGTAGCGACCGCTGTGTTGGCGTGGGTATTTGAGAATCAAGCACCTCAGTTTCTAATTATTTTAGTCGCTAACGCGAACCGCCTCGGCAAGGCACAGAATTGCAGGTAGCCCTTGTCAATAGGGGGACCCTCTATAAGCTTTCCGGAAAAAAGCTGAATAGTGGCTATCTGCACTAGAGCGGGTGCAAGATTAGAAGATGTTGAGGTTGATGCCTCAAACCCGCCTGTTGCAGATTTCATTCGACTTTTCTGCACCCATCAGAAGTCATGATTTTCATTAAGCCCCCCTGAACCCCCAAACCCTGAACCCTGAACCCTGAACCCTGAACCCTAAACCCTAAACCCTAAACCCTAAACCCTAAACCCTAAACCCTAAACCCTAAACCCTAAACCCTAAACCCTAAACCCACCACCTCTAGACTCTGGACTCGCCCTTGACCCTGAAGTGGTAGAGTCGGTCGAGTCACACTTAGGGTTTAGGGTTTAGGGTTTAGGGTTTAGGGTTTAGGGTTTAGGGTTGAGGGTTTAGGGTCGCCCTGGCATACAGGGGGTGGAGGGAGCAGAGTGGTGGCTCGCCCGGTGCCCTGGCTAAGGGGTTGCAGGGCTTCAGGATTTTTAAGGTTTAGGGTTTAGGGTTAGGTTTGGGGTGTAAGGGGCGTTATGGGGCTTCAGGGTTTAGGGGCCTGACTTCCCGGGCTTGGAAGGGCCTTAGAAGCCCTGGAACCCTGAAATTTTGGAACCCTGAAATCCTGAAAACCCTAAAAGCCCTTTAAGGGTGGAACCTGTAAAGCCCTGCAAGCCTAAGACTCTGCACCCAAAATCCCTAGAATTCCTCAAGTCTGGCCCGTACGCGCTCGGACGTTCTAACGCGGTTTTGGGGTAGGTAACGGGCGCTGCAGAAAGACAGCCCAGGATCTTGTTTGTCGTTTGGACTCTCTTCCACCTCTTCATCTTTACGCTCCCCTGCTTCAGCTACCGCTGCGTCAGAGAGGACTGGGAACAGGTGGGGTATAGACCCTAAACCCTAAACCAAAAGCCCTCATCTCGGATTATCGGAAAACACCAGCACAGGGTTTACCCCAAGCCCTCAACCCCAATAGCCCCAGAAGGTCAAAACCCTAAACCCTAAACCGTAAAAGGTAAACCTAAACCCTAAACCCTAAACCCTAAACCCTAAACCCTAAACCCTAAACCCTAAACCCTAAACCCTAAACCCTAAACCCTAAACCCTAAACCCTAAACCCTAAACCCTAAACCCTAAACCCTAAACCCCCAAGGTGCTGGAACATCAGCAGGAGCACGACCCATGGCAACTTCGCATGCGCAGCCCCTCCCAAAAGCCCTCCCAAGGCGTGGCAGGCAGCTTTGGTTTAGGGTTTAGGGTTTAGGGTTCAGGGTTCAGGGTTTAGGGTTTAGGGTTTAGGGTTTAGGGTTTAGGGTTTAGGGTTTAGGGTTCCTAAACCCCGCTAGTCCCCACTAAGCCCCCGACTGTAGGGTTTAGGGTTCCTAAACCCCCACTAGGACCCCCACTATGCCCCCCTCTGAGCCCCATCAAGCACAACCCTGGAAAGCTTAGAAGCCACTCGCAAAGGCAGCTCCGTTGGCCCTGTCCGCGCCCCTGCAGCTGCTACAAGGAAAGCAACGATGGGTTTAGGTGTGTTTAGGTGACGGGTTGAGGGCTTTGAGGGTTGTAGAGATATAGGTTTTGAATTTTGAAGGGCTTAGGATGGCTTAGGATCCTTTTTGTGGGGGGTGCCTGTTATGATACAGCCTAAACACCCAAAGAGACCACAAGTTTTTCTCCACCTGGCCATCCGATGTCTATTTGGTGGATTTAGAATTTGGGTTTGGGGTCTCGCGTGGTGCGAAAAAGCTTGCAATTTATGAGGCGGCCTTCAATTCTGGCTGAGGCTTAAGGCTTAAGGGTGTGGGGCTCAAGGTTTTCAGGACGACATGTGGAGGCTTTGGCAGAAGCGGGGCTTTCTGGGAGTGTACCCTGGATGGCCGTTGGTTTCAGTTCTTTGACTTCCCAAGCCCGTAGACTTCACTGCAGAAGCTGCTGGACCCTAGCCCCTGAGCCCTAAACCCTAAACCCTCAACCTCTGCGCTCTTAGCAACACGACCATCTGATAGTCATCAGTCTCGACGTTTCACGAAGGCCTCGCTTCGTTTCCAAAGCCGTGTTGTTCCGATGTCTGCCGCCCTCAACCGTAAGCCCACAAGTCCGCACTCGACAGGCAAGCTCTACCCTAACCATCCCTTAGCCCTAACCCTTAACCCCTTAACCCCTAAACCCCTAAACCCTTATCATTACCCCTTCAAGTACCGAAAAAATCGAGGGTCCCTTCTGCAAGCCCCAAAATTCTTTGCCCTGGGCACCTTGAGAAGGACCTGGAGAGCAGCGACAGCGAGGGGGACAGTCGGTAGCCTTTGCGAGACAGCAAGGCCGGGGGTACGTAATGCATGTATGTATGTATGTACGTATGTATGTATGCATGCATGTATGTATGTTGGTGGTATGTATGTGTGCATATTTCATTACGTGCGTCTAAGCGAGCCTTGAAACCAACCCTTTGCTCCATGGCCGGGGTGTCACCCCTCAACGGGCGTATGGGGGCTTTAGGGTTCTTAAGGGCTTAAGGTACATACTGGGTTTCGTGTTCAGGTTTCGTAGCCGGTCCAACGTCCACATGCGTATCTCGTAATGCAAATTTGTACATATATAAACATATATATATATATATTTACATTCGTATTTATATTTTATATACATGTTTTTATTATTCATATTTATCTATCTATCTATCTATCTATCTATCTATCTATCTATCTATCTATCTATCTATCTATCTATCTATCTATCTATCTATCTATCTATATATATATACATACACATTTGTTTTTGTATGCATATATGTGTATATCAAGCCTGAATATTTCGTCTATAAGTATATGTGCAGATTCCCTGAGCTTCTCTGAACTCTGAACCTATGGTTGCCTAGCATTCGCGGCGGGGCTCTTGGAAGAGACAGGTGCAGAAGTGCAGAGGTTCAAAACTACACTGTAGAGTTCAGGGATCGGGTTTCAGCTCCGAGCCCTAGGTCCTAACCCCCAAACCCTCTCTAAGCCTTAAACCCTATACCTTATACCCTCTAGGAATTACATGTGCTTGATCGCATGAGGGGCCGAATTGCTTTGACTTCAAGTGTGCCCTGCGCAGGAGCAGATGCAGAAGCCGGAGGTGGCCTTTTTGGGTTCGGGTTCAGGGGTTGACGGGTTGAGGGGTTTAGGGTTTAGGGGTTGAGGGGTTTAGGGTTTAGGGGTTTAGGGTTTTGGGGTTTAGGGTTTAAGGTTTAGGGTTTATAGCGACGGGCTACCAGATGGAAGAGGAAACGTTTTTCTGAAAGAAGCCGCGTTTTTCCAAGTGCTTGTTTTTGTCTTCCGTGTGAGGTCCACATTCCATCTGAGCGTTTGTTTTGCTCTGGATTTATGCCATGCCATCATTGTATGCATTTTGCTCCACGAAAAAACTCAAACATGTAGATCCAGGACCTCAAATGGTTTTTCTCGCCCCCATATTCCATGCCATGTGTTGCATATGCTATGCCATGTTTTGCATGTGCTATGCCGTGTGTTTTGTTCTCTTTGCTCCTAAAACGCCCAAAAATTGGGCATAAACGCAAGACTGAGACAACTAGAGTAGCGAAAGAACAACAAAAGGAAAAAGCAAAGACGAGAGAAAAGTGGTGCAGACGATGAAAGGGGGCAAGGCGACGAAAGCCATTCTGGCAGGAGGAAGAGGGAGAGGGAGAGTGTGTGTGAAGTTCCGAATCCCCTTAGAAACGCAGACCTCGCATGGGTGCGATCTTCGAATTTCCAGATCGCACCAATCCCTCATTTCTTTCCCTATCTTTCTCTTTCTCTCTCTTTCTCTCTCTTCTTCTCTCTTCTTCTCTCTTTCTCTCGACATTCGAGCCACCGCAGCAGTCTAGCAAGTAGGGCTTCGGGCCGTTCAGGGGAAGAGTTTAAATAAACAACTGCTAGCCCGCCGCTATAGGGTTTTGGGGTTTAGGGGGTTTAGGGGTTTTAGGGATTTAGGGTTTAGGGAAATATCCCTGGACGCAGTCTATGCTTGCGGTGGTCCAGGCCCCTAGGTGGGGCCCAGAGTCATAAAGATTGCATTCGCGCCGAGCTCTTTCTGGTTCCTCGGCTCATCGCCGCAAGTGTCCGAAGTTCGGGGGGGGGGGGGGGGAAAGCACCAGAAACCTTCTGGGGGTTTTCGATAGTAGGGTACCCTGCTGGGGGCCTTTTTAAAAGGGGATGTATATTAGGTCCCTTATTGTCGTAAACCCCCATATGATGCTTTCCCCGACTAACACAGATCATGACATGGTTGCGGAGATACGGGAGCATCAACTTTTCTGGTTTTTCGACATGGTAAGTCCCTTCCCCCTTCTCACCGCCCAAATGCAGAAGAAGAGATTCCAGGATGAAATCGAAGGTATGCCTGTATGCCTCACAGCTCCACGCTTCCCAACTTTCCCTATGACTTCTTCTATCTGCTTCGAGGTTGCTAGAGTTCTTTCCCCTGCTGCAGAAGTCCATTTTTAGTTGCAGCGCTCTGCATGTCTTTCCTGGTGTCGACCCTGCACACGACCAGTGGCCAAGATGTTTGCCTCGAACCGCCGGTGGCTTCAGATGAACCTCTCGAGGATCTCAGGCGCCGTGCTGCCTACGCCTTGCGAGTGGGGGTTCGACAGGTGAGTGACGAAAGACTAAGAACCCTAAACCCTAAACCCTAACCCCTAAACCCTAAACCCTAAACCCCAAACCCCAAACCCCAAACCCTAAAACCCTAAACCCTGAACCCTAAACCCCAATCATCGTGCTCCATTTCTGCCGGCTTCGACCGCTGTTCAGGTGACCCTTCTGAGTGGTGACAAGGAGTTAGTCGGAAACTGCCCCGTGGCCGACGTCATCGACGAAGCCGCAGACCTCACGGTACTGCTGCAGCCGGTGCACCGCATCTACCGGCCGCAGGTGGAGGAGGCCTGGGAAGCCGTGGGCTTTGTGAAGCTGCAGAGGGTGGTGTTTCCGCCTTCCAGCGGCATCGACGTGAATATGATGCCCTTCCGGATGGGCGACAAGGCCTCGCTCCCCGAGGAGCTCTGGGGCTACTGGCCCCTGATCGAAGCATGCAGGCTCCCAGAGGAGGAACTTGGGAAGGTGGGTTTCTTGACCATCCAGGAGACTGACGTCACTGCAGGGGACGCTCAACGTCGCCCGGGGTTGCACCTGGAAAGTCCAGGCGTCGTGATGTCGGAGGGCCGGGTGTTGCTGACGATGGCCCGGTGGGGTGCGGGGCTAGCAGGATTCAGAGTGAAAGAGCCTAAGCAGGTACCTCCGATACTTGAGTCTTTGGATGAAGATGTGGACCACCAGGCTCAGATTGATGACGCCGTTGCGGGTTCTGAGGCTGACGACATCTCGGATGAAGACTCTGAAGACAGTGAAGACGGTGGCACCAAGTGGATCCATACCCGGTTGCAGGGCGGAATCTACACGGCCTCCACAGTGGAGAACTCTGCCAAGTTTTGGGATCTTCGCTTCTCTGACCCAGCGGACGTTTGTGGCCCCCTGGGGGACCTAGAACACATGCGTCAGGCGTTGGGGCCTGGTGTGGCTGCCGAGGCCCAGACACTATATTGGATGAGTGATGCCACGCCCCATGAGTCCGTTCCTTTGAAGGAAGATGCGCATCGCCAGTATTTCCGCCTCGTGACCAGCTCCGTGTCCCTCTGGTATTCGAAGCATTCCACGGAGAACCCTTTGGTGAAGCCGGATCCCAGTCTTACAAGGATTGTTGACACCGATAAATTTCAAGATTTCCCGCTGGTCGGTCCATCGATGAAGCGGAGAGGAAGTGATGTGGGGGACAAGATTTGGGATGTATTCCATGGTACAGAATTGGGATACTTCCCCGATGGTGTACATGACCCCTCCAGAGAGCGGAAGCTGCTAGAGCAGCAGCTGGGGCCCCTGTGATGGAAGTAGTTCGATTCAAGCTTCTTCACCCCTGGTGGACCTCAACCCCAAAACCCTAGACCCTAAACCCAAAAGGTCTAACTGCCCAAGCCGACCCCTTTCAATGGTGGGTTAGTTGGGGTAGAGCTTGCATTACCTCGCAGTCTTGCCTTTTACCCAAAGATGCTGATGCAAACTTTGAGGCAGAGGAGGTACGGACGCAGCTTGGTCGTTCTCGTAGGGTCAATGTAGTCTGTCTCAACGCATCATTGCTTCTGGATAACATGAGACAAACATGTCTATGCAACACCCTCAGCCCCAAGCATCAAGACACTTTAAAAGCACCTGGACCCCTAAACCCTCTACACCCTAAACCCTATACACCCTGCACCCTACATCGGTGTAGGGCCCTAAGCTCTGAGAACCCTGGGGCCCAAACCCCGAGGCCCGACGCCGCTCAACCCCACTTCCGAGCAAAAGATCCCGCCGCCCGAAATCTGCAGGATCTCAAAACCCTGCCCCAAAGCCTAAAGCCTAAACGGCCTAAAACCACCAAAGGCCAAACCCTGAAGCCCCTAAAGCTCTCAAATCCCCAACGACCCTCAGACCCTGGAACCACTAAATCAACCCTCAAGACCCTAAACCCCTAGAGCCCCGAAAGCCCCAAAACCCTGAAACCCCTAAAGCCCCTAAAGCCCCCTAAAACCTAAACCCTGAACGAGCCCCAAACCCTAAACCCTAAAGCCTAAGCCCTAAACATCCCTAAACCCTAAACCCTAAACCCTCAACCCCAAAAGCCCGCAGAGACCCTGAAGGACCTACAGCCACGGAGCAGCCCCGGCCTTATGAAAGCGGCCCTTGGGGCCTTTTGCGGACTGCCCGGTGGGGAAAGCCTCCAGTCAACCCTCAACCCTGGCCTTCGTAGGGTTTAGGGTTTAGGGGTTTAGCTGTTTAGGGGTTTACGTGTTCACGGGCAGTTGGGTATCTTATGTTCCCTAGGGTGCCGGCTTCTCACATTCCCGAGTATAGTAAGATAGGCAGACGTTGCATTCCGGCATTGTCCGGCTGGTTCTTAGTAGCACAAACTGTTTTTACTGGTAAAGTCTTGAGGTTTTGAGGTTCAAGGGCTTCATAAACCCTAAACCCTAAACCTAAACCCTAATCCCTAACCCTAAGCCCGAAACCCGTGCATGTGCACTGGGCTCTTTTTCGGAACTTCGGGTCCAGTCCAGCTGGGAGCGGCGGGAGCTGTGCTTTAGGGTTTTGTGGGTTTAGGCCTCCCAATCCCCATCACCCCAAACTTGCAGGAACCAACCATACGTCTCATGCTGTCTGCCATAATGTGTAGATCCACCCCATAGGCCCTAAGGCCGAAACCCAAAACCCAAAAGTCAGCATTGAGTAGCGGAGTCCTTCATTTTCCTCCTTTCGCCGGATTCTAAGGGTAGTTGCATGGTCCTTTACTATGGTCCCTCACCTTCGTTAGAAGGGTTCTGAAGTATGGGCCCGTGCGTTTTATTGGCTTTTTCAGAGATATATCAGGGGTCCCTATTTCAGGGATCATGTTAAGGGACCATGGAACCTTCCCAATCCCTAAACCCCAAACCCTAAACCCTAAACCCGAAACCCTTAACCCTGAACCCCAGGACTCCCTAAAGGGGGCCGTTTAGGGTTTAGGGTTTAGGGTTTAGGGTTTAGGGTTTAGGGTTTAGGGTTTAGGGTTTAGGGTTTAGGGTTTAGCGCCTAAGAGCTCTGTGGTTTTTAGGGTTCTCCCCCGAGGCGGGCGGGGCTTCATCGATTGAAGGCACCCCACGCGGATGCCCGGGTGCCCAGCACGAGGCTCAGGGGCTGGACATCTCCTCAACCGGAAACCCTAAACCCTAAATCCTAAACCCTAAAACCCTAAAACCCTAAACCCTAAACCCTAAACCCTAAAACCCTAAACCCTAAACCCTAAAACCCTAAACCCTAAACCGCCTACCTCCGCTCCAGCATCCTTTGTTTGTAGCCTTTTTCGATGAAGCAGCTAGCCCTCAGCTGCAAGCATTCAATGTAATGTAATGTATTTTACTGATTTACTGTCATATAAGACAAGACAAGATCAAGCCGAATAACATTGCAATTTCTGTGGGAAAAATAGCCTTTCTGAAGTTCCTTGGTTATTCGTTGAAGAAGCAAGACGTGACATAGATTCTAGGCCCCCCAAACCGCCCCCCCCCCCCCCCTTTTTCCGGGCTCCCCCTCTCAAGCTTTCTTTGGGTTGCGGAGGGTTTTTCGGGGCTTGCCGGTCCTTGGCCTGTGGCATGGAGCCTTGAGGCTGCAGACAGGTTTAGGGTTTAGGGTTTAGGGTTTGGGATTGGCTGTTGAGGAGTCCTCTTCCTTAGGCCCGGCCCTCTCCCGATAACCACACCCAGTGCTCCCTCTACACATGCTTTGCACACGTGTCTGTATAAACTTACTTAAACACAAGCATATATATATATATATAGATATGTATATCTGTGTATATATCGATAGGTGTAGATATGTGTTTTTTCTATATATATATATATGTATAAACACGTGTTTTTTGATCCATATCTATCTGTTCTGGCCATTTGTACTTATTTGTATTTTAGTTGTACCGCGCAGCGAGAGTTTCCTGCCAACTCAGGAGCGAGAACCGGCGCCGGCGAAGCGAAGGAAGCACCAGACTTTTGAGTGGACTTGCGAGATCCCATGGAACAAAAGGGTGCGCGGAGGGGGGGGGGGGGGGGTTTAGGGATAGGGGCTTTGGGTTTATAGGCTTTAGTTTCGATTTTTTGTTTTTAGTTCTTTATGTTATGTGTTTTTGTTGGGGGAGGGGGGTTGGGGTTCCAGTGGGATCTCTCGGGTTCGCCTGCAGGACCTCGGACTGCAGTGATTACTGGGCGCTTTACCCCCCTCCAGAAGCCCAAGACCCAAGCTGTCTGACCTCTAACCTTGATAAATCCTCAGGCGCCCTGTGATCGAATCTTCCGTGGCTTCCCTGCCTTTGATGCCCAGCCGAAACCGTGTTTAGGCACCTTCTATGCACAGAAAGAAGACTGAAGTGTGCTGCGGACGGCACCCTATGTCCCATCCGCCCAAGCTTCGTGCAGTCCTGGCAAGTTGACTTCAGTTGGCTACGTTTCAACGCGTCCCGATTGGGCCAGGGGCCTGCAGGAAGATCATTGTTGGGAAGCGGTGGGGGGGGGGGTTAGGCTTCAGGCTTTAGGGTTTGGGGATTAGGCTTTAGGACTGCGTTTCGTGCATGAGATGGCGAGGGGGATAACAAGTGGGGATAAGAAGTGGTTTGGAACGCCCAGGGAGCCCAAGCAAGGAGGAATGACACGTTGAGTTTTCATTTAGAGATGTAGTCAGAACGAATCTGCTGAGAATCAGGCCACGGTCCGTCCATCAAGGGCTGCCGAAATAAAGGGGGCAAGCGGTCTTTTGCAGAGGCTTTCACAGTCGTGCTCCGTTGCTCGGAGCTTTCAATCAATGCATGCAAGGCCACCCAGTAGCCGCAGTTGGGAACTTCAACGCTGCCAATGAAGGGAATATCCACAGGTAGAGGCACACCCACGTAGTGAGCAGAGCACGACACAGTTGGCTACTTGGGACATGCGTCCTCATGATGCGAATCCCATACTTCTCCTGACGATTGAGCGGGGGCCGAAACAAGGCGCCTTCCGCACAATTTTGGGTCGACATCGGTGGGTTCGGCATGTTTTAGAGTTTAGGGGAGCTCCGGAACCACTGGATTTTGCGGGGGAGCATGATAGGACTTTGATATCGAAGATTCGGTTTCATGGGGGGTTGAGAAGCTTATTCTTGATATGTTGAGATGGCAGCTGCACCGGCTCACCGGCGAACCCCCGCCCCGCCCCCACCCGCAGTTCATTTGAGGTCCATGGCTTTGGGTTTATGCCCAAGGCTTTTCAAAAAGGGTAGAGCGCTTCGCTTGCTGTGTAGGCTCCGGATCTAACCGAATTTAGGGAACCGGGGCAACTTCTTACAAGAGCCTGTGTGCAGAGTAAGGCCTCAACTTAGGGTTTAGGGTTTAGGGTTTAGGTTTTAGGGTTTAGGGTTTAGGGTTGTTGAACACGAACATCCGAGACCCCAAGCCTATGCCCAGTGTTCTCTGTTTGCGATCCTTGTCGTTTCCACGGTACCGCCACAGGGGGGGGGGGGGTGTTTTGATCTGTACAGAAAGAGTCGACTTTTTTCTTGTGAGCTTAGGAACGTAAGATGCTCCAAACCTATTGGTTTAGTCGGGATTGATGGAAGCCGTTACCTCATATTCCATATATATATATACACACACATATGCGCACCCTTTAAGGGTTTCTAAGGCGTACCGATTTCGAAGTAGGTACCTTACATCCCCCTTTTTGTAGATAGATAGATAGATGTATATATATATATATACACACCCTTCAAGGGAACTTCGCTCATTCCCTACTAAGAGCCAGGAGGCAAACCATGGTAGAGGCGGTTTAGGGTTTCGGGTTTTAGGGGTTAGGGGTTTGTGTATTCGGACCCCCCAGAAGCTTCCATCTCCAAAGGCGGGCCGGGTCTCCATCCTTGGACTGATGCCCGCTGCGCCCGGTGCGAGGCTGGGTAAGTTGAGGGTTCAGGGCTAAAGGTCGGACTTGAGGCTGCAACGGTTACATAAACTCGAAAGGCCCTGAACAAACCTTCGACCTTGAGAGCCTGATCCTCCAAGCATCTGCATGCAAAACCCGGAAGCTTGAGAGTGCGGTTTGGCGTTTAGGGTGCTCTGACTGGCAGAAGTGATCGTGAAGAACTGCGGAGATTAGCTGTGAGGTGCCGCTTAGAGGTATGCGTTTACACAGTACAGTCTGCTACCCAGTATACTTTTGTTTGGGATATTACATAACAAGTAGAGTAAAGCATTGTAAATCAAGATGGATGGCATTGCAATGCGATCAGGGTGTCAGTTTATATCGCACCGTGCTACATAGTACAGTATACTTTGCTATAGCTATATAAGCTGTACTTTGAAATGCTGCTCTTTACCACAGTTATCACAATTCTATATTCTGTTATATGCAGCTATTTTATGCTATACCCAGCTACATGAGTATACTATACTGCGTAGTGTTGTCTCATCAACCGCAATGCTCGGCTTTCATCTCTTTGTAGCAGGATTTGAGCATAGTGATCAGAGTGCCAAGAGAATGTCTGGAGGCGCCCGCGCACGCTTTGGTGACTGGTTGACCGGCCGGATCAAGTCGTATCAGCCCACAACCGGCTACGGCTTCATTGAATGCGAGGAGACCTACAGCTACTACCGTCGTGATGTGTACTTGAGCAGGCATCAGCTGGAGCAACTAGACATCAGGACGATTCCCGTTGGCACCGAAGTCCATTTCAGGATAGAAGAGAAGGATGATAAGCCTCAAGCTTCCCACCTGGCACTGCCAAGCAGGGGTGCGGGTGCCTGGGGCTCTAGCCACCATGGCGGTTACAGCTACGAGGGTGAAGTATGGCCACAAGAGCCGCTGGGTCCGAAGTCTCTCTTCGAGCCGACCATGCAGCAATGCGAGTACACCTTGAATTCCTTCAAGAACTGCCTGCAGTCCCTGTCAGAGTGCCTGGAGCGGCATGGCCTCAATGGTGAATCCTACAAGGCGCTGAGACAGGCAGAGGCAGCCCTGCAATGCGAGCAGTGTCGGAGAGATGAGCGCACAGAAGGCCTAAACATGGAGTTAGTTGTAGAATGTATCTGACATGGCTCTACTTCTCACTCTCCTATGCCTTGAGCAGAAGATGCCACAACACAGCTTTCTTCTTCTTTGATGCAGCCCCTCAGCCCTGACCCTTCCTGCTCACGCAACCCTGGAGGCTCCAAGATTCTCCTCCTCCTCGAGCAGGCGAAGGAGATGTGGGACGACAAGAGCAACCTTTGTCACCAAGCCCCTTTGGCCCGAATTTTAGGGTTTGCGTTTACTTCGGAGTCGGCGGCGTCGGATCAGGAATAGCAGCAAAGGTAATGGTAATCATCTTCGCAAAAGATGCTAATAGCAATAGTCATGTTTGCCATCCGCCTTTGTACAATTTCATAATCATGCATCGCTGTCACAGTACACAGTTTTCCCACATGTGCTCAGTTAGAGTCTTTCTCCACGAGGGGTTCACTCATGCTAGTATTGTTCGAATTATGTAGTACTAGTACTACGACGAGTCCTAGTGCTCCTACGCTACTCGTAGCCAGGCCCTCCGGAAGGGCCTCATCCAGCGTCTCCATGCCCCGCCCGCGCGGCCGGTGGAGATGAACATCTCCAGGCTTCGGTTCACGCAGCAAAACCACAGCAAAAGGCTCCTCGGCAGTCCACCGGGTAAGTGGGCAACGGTCTACTGGGTACTCTGCTATCATAGGATCGATGTTGAAGTACACGTTCCCGCCATAGCATGCGTGGTGCGCGGTTCTGCTTTACATGGCAGTCGGACACGTTTAGTATATGATAGGGGTAGTATACGGCAGCTTACTCTTACTCCCTAGGTTCTTGCACGGCCCTCATGCGGGGCAGCGCATTGAATGGCTGGCGGAGCAACTTGTCTCTGGAAGCATTGCCCTGGATGATCCATCCATGGTCCTGAACGTGGTGTACTTCCATGGCCATTACAGATCACTCAACAATCGGCATCTAACAGCCATCATCAAGTATGCTGGCGCTATGGAGAAGCAAGGTCGGTTGCCCAGGCCTTGCTGCGTCCGTGTTTGGCCACTGGTTCGCTACTTGTCTTTGCGGTGTGGATGGTGTGTGGGTAGAGTGCACTGATACCGTACTTCTGACATACGAGAGTGTACGGTACCATACACTTTATCACACGACGCTATAGTTTACTATACACGTAGTATGCAATGCTCGACCGAGTATGCCATAGTATGCTAAGTTGTCTTGTTTGCTTTTCGGTCGCGTGGAAGCCAAATCTGAGGCGGTCTTCGAATGGAGTTTGATGACGGCTCCGAGCAAGATGTCATCCGGAAGTTCCTTCGTGCGAGCGACAGTGTGAGTGATGGGATCAGTATTGAGTGCAAACGTCGCCCGGGACGACAAACAGCCGTGAACCAAGACGCCTCCATCCACGTTTCCAACCTCGACTCTGCAGTGCAAGAGTCCGAGCTGCGTGCCCACCTCCTGAAAGCAGGACTTCGGGACACCTTCAAGGTGAGCATCGCGCGTCGCGCTGACGGGCGCTCCAACTGCCACGGCTGGGTGACCTTCGAGCAGCCGGAGAAGGCGCAGAGGCTTCTGGATCTCTTCGTGGCGCCTCTTCGTGGGCGCGAGCTGAAGCTGCGCTGGGACAATGTCTCCGAGGCCCAACTCCGGGAGCCAGGTACCTCCGCCTCCAGGAACGCGGTTGCTGGTAGCGGCTGGGTGAGGTGCAAGGGCTGCCACTGCAAGTGCTCGCCTCTTCTGGAAGTGCTCTTGCTGGAAGGCGAGCGCCTTCGCAAGGACTCCGTCCCGGCTGGCAAGTTCGACTCTGTGCCAACCTTCTTCTGCGTGGGCCGGGAAGCATCGCTCAGCAACTGCGACGTGGCTCCACACCCGGATGCCGCAGAGATGTCCTTCAAGCTTGCTCTGATCAACTGCAGCAAGTGTCACCTGGATTTGGGCAACGTCCAGAAAGCCTCCCGCATGCAGGGCAACGTCCAAGAGCTGTTGGGCGAGAGGGTCGTGCACTTCAAATGTGCTTCAGTTCTTCTCGAGCTGCCGGATCGTCAAGACTTGCTGCTCGAAGTCCGCAAGTGGCAGTTCCTTGCGCAGGCCACCGGCAGGGAATCCATCTACCGGCTTGCGCAGCTCACGCTCCGGCAGGCTACCGACATCCTTGGCCTCACTTTCAACTCGAAGGTTCCGGGCAGGAACACGAGCCGCCACGCCCGCATCATCCCCCGGAACCCGGACAGCCTCCCGAACGATGGCACATGAACGCCAGGCCGATATTCTACCATTCTACACATATATGTGTATATATGTAATCTGTATATATGTATATAGATTACATACATGAGGTGCACTTTCTCCTGCATCGTTGTATCATTCTGTTGCTCCGTTCATATTTCAAGCATGTTGTCATGCTTACGTGCTCGTCTTGGCCCTGCGTCCGTGTCTTCCAGGAACCTCTCTAGACTCTTGCCAGACTCTTTCCTGCGCTGACACGAAAAAGCCTCCTGGGCATGGGTTGAACCCTGAACCCTGAACCCTAAACCCTAAACCCTAAACCCTAAACCCTAAACCCTAAACCCTAAACCCTAAACCCTAAACCCTAAACCCTAAACCCTAAACCCTAACCCTAAACCCTGAACTTGAAACCCTAAACCCTAAACCCTAAACCCTAAACCCTTAACCCCTAAACCCCTAAACCCCTAAACCCCTAAACCCCTAAACCCCCAAACCCCTAAACCCCTAAACCCCTAAACCCTCAACCTTTGCCAGGCCACAAGGTGCTCTCCGAGACTGAGCCGAAAGGCGGACCCGCGGCACCTGCTCGGAGGTTCAGGGTACTTCTTGATCGTAGCTGTTCTTATAGCCCACTTATAAGCCCCTTAAGTGCCCTAATATGGTTCTGAGTACAGTTAAAAAGCACTTATAAGCCCCTTAAGTGCCCTAACATGGTTCTAAGTGCAGTTAAAAAGCACGTATAAGCCCCTTAAGTGCCGTAATATCGTTCTAAGTGCAGTTAAAAAGGTACGGTTAAGATTGGGTTAATCAGTGCCATGAACCTCCAGATGGGGTTCTTTCTAGCCCGGACTAGAGCCTCTGCTCGCCCCCAGAAGAGGGCACAACACCCGTTAACAAGGCTTGCGTTGGATGTGAGGAAATATACAAGTAAAAGTATAAAATAAAATACCAAGATATATGTATATATATATATATGGTATAATGTATATACATATATATGTATATTTTACATGAAAGGAATTTTATTTATTTGCTGAGAGTTGCTGGAAGTAGTGCTCTAGCAAGACCCTGGCTTCGGCTGGTCTTCCTTCTCGGCGTCATCATGAAACTCGGGTCGGATGGTCTAAAGAAAATCAAGAGCACTCTTCGTGCAGTTCTCTGCAACAAACCGTTTGCGTCTTGATCATCGGGCAGTCTCTGCAACATTCTGCATTTGCCTGCCCATTTCTTATTTGGCCGCCTTCTGGCACGGATGGCTGCTTCTCCAGCCTCCACACAGTGCTTTCGTTCCTTGAGACGCGGCGTCCACGACTGCCCGGAGACTGACCGAACAGCAGAAGCTCTTCATCTGCATCTTCGATGCGCCTTCAAGCTTGCTTTGCTGCAGGCCTTGTGTCTGGCTCAAGTGTCACAGTGACAGTCACAGTGGCACACGGGACGGCCTCGTTTCTGCGGCCATGTTTGCTCCAGAGTCGAGCGATGTGGCTCTTCCGATGATGTTCTTGATGTGGTTTTGCTGGGGCGTCTGGCCACCCTTACGGAAAAAAGGAGGCTCTGACAATGAGCACTTTGGGTTAACAGCCGTCATCTCCCAGAACTTGCTGTGCCTGTTCTTCTCCTTTACGCTGGGAATGGCAAACCCGGATGGTGTTCCGAACTTTGACAGCAGGCAGTTTCCACAAATGGTCGTGGAAGATACTTCGGAAAGGCTTCCTGCAGTTCTTCTTGCAGTTTCCTCCGGGGTTGTGATCTGTTGTGCAGAGTTCGTCCTGGCCAAGGCTATTGACGTGTTGGGCGTGGCAATTGCAGTTCCTACCGGCTTCGGAATTTCGATGCTATGGGGAACAGCGGCCAGCTACGCCATCGAGCCCACGGCAGATGCCAAGCTCCTTTTCACGGGCCTAGGGGCTTGCTTGCTCGGCCTCTTCTGCGATGCGGCCTCGAAGTTGGACACCCACAAGGAAGAAGCCCCAGGGCAGGGAGCCATGGCAAGTGATGTGGAGGCCTCCGCTTCCAAAGTGCATCTGGCCTCCGGGTCTGAGATGGATCGCCGCAGGTTCTGGCTGCCAGTTCTGGGAGGGCTGATGTTTGGATGCAATCCTCCCATGCAGACGGCCGCCGCCACAATCGGACAGTTGTCTCCATATGTCCAAATGGTTGCCTTCATGCTGGGAAAGCTCCTTACCATTTTCCCACTGGCTTGTGCCTACGTTTGGCTCTCGGGCGGAGGTAGCAGCGCTGTGAAGTTGCCCTGCGCAGTGTGGGGCGGCTACCTCGAGGCCTGTCGCAAGCGCCCGAAGGCACTGCTGTTTGATGCACTTTGTGGGGCTTGCGTTGGGATGGGGCACTGCATGTTCTTTGTGGGCACACCTGTGGTGTCAAAAGCCGTGGGCTCCATTTTCGGAACTTCGAGCTTGCTGCTCTCTGTTCTTCTCGGCGTGGTTCTCTTCAAGGAGCTTGCAGGAAAGAGCCTCACTCAGAAAGTGCTTTGCGCTCTTAGCGTTTCCTTTCTGAGCGCAGCACTGGCGCTCATGTCTGCGGCTTCCCTCCGAGAGTAGCAAGAGATCGACACCTGCTTCGTCATTTGGACAGCGGGAGACGGGAGAAGAATGTTTGCAAGCTTTCTCGATGGTTTGCAGGACGCAGTTCCTGACTTTTTCTTGATAGATTCCTCTTGGGTTTGCTTAGAGAGATCTACTCGCACCTTGCCTCCCCGGCCGGCCACGTGCAGGCCGAGCATCGCGAGGGCTTCAAGTTTTGCTTATCGCTTTTTGCATGCTACTCCATTCTGCATCTGGTTTAATTTGTTTGCACGACCGGCTTCCGCTTGCAAGATCTTTGCAGAAGAGCATGGATAGGCAAGAGCCGAGTTTTGGAGGGTGCAGACCAGCGGAAGCTGACAAAAGCTTGCTGCCTTGTGTGAGTTCTCAATTGTGGTGTAGCACACGTGTGTGCGTTGGAACAAACAGCTGCGATCGCTGCAGCTACTGCGGCTCGATCGCCTGTTTCGACTTCCGCAGGCAAGTCTCGCCCCTTGGCGGCCATTGAGGGTAGAAATGAGAGGTCCTGCCTTGGAGGCAGTAGATGATCAATCCTGAACCAGCCATACCGCAGCCTGGGGCCATTTCGAGTAGCGGTTTGTCAATCCATTCTTTCAGCATCAAAGCCACCATCAAAGCCACCATCTTCCTGCCTGCAGGTCTTGGAGGAAGAAGACAGGTCCTTGCAGGATGTTCGACGCAGCGTGGCCAAGGCGCCCGGAGCTGTGCAGAGTTCGGGCAAATCTGTTTGGGGTCTAGATGCTTTCATGGGGATCCATCCCCCGAAGCCCTGAACCCAACAACCCAACATGAACCACGGAAGATGGCGCAGGGTTTCAGTCATCAAGGGAAACCTTAAACCCCAAACCCTAAACCCTGAAAGAGAAGCCTGAACTCCTTGGTCGCCGCTGTCGGGTGGCTCCTGGAGCGCTTCGTGCACTCTTCTTTCATGAAAACAACAAGTTCACAGAAACAAAAACCGATCATAAACCCCCTAAACCCCTTAAACCCCCTAAACCGTATAACCCTACAAAGAGGCAAGTAAGGTTCCCCGTACCAAAAGGCCAAGATGCAAAAGGCTCCGGGGGATCCGGTAGAGCCCATTCAAGGGGCCTCTTGGGTGTAACGTTTAAGGACCCCAAGACACGAGCAGTGCTCATTCTCTCCTTTTTGTTACTCAAACCGGTACCCTCTTTACCCCTAAACGTATAAAGGCACATAAAAAGAAGGACCCAAAACAGCCATCTGACGCGTCATCGGGGCTCGGCACGAGGCACCGCTCAAAAAAGATCGTCTCCTTCCCTCTCCCTCTCTCGCTCTCTCTCGGAGAGAATGCCATGGGGTTTGGGGTTTTGGGTTTTGGGTAAGTTGCTTCTGAGCTTTGGAGCTTTACTCACCTCATGCCCTGTCAACCAACGTTAAGGCTTGCTTACTACTCCCATTTCTTTTAACTTGCCTCTTTTGGTTTCTCGGGCCGAGTTGAAAACTTAACGGTCCGAACGCCCGTGGCCTCCGAACCCCAATATCCCACGAAAGATGCCCTTTCTGCAGCAAACCCTGGGCCCTAAACCTTGTCCCAGAAACTCCAGGACCCGTGAATCGAGGAGCATTATAGGAGGAACCATCCTACATGCGAAATACGGGCCTTGGAGTCTTTCGGACAAATCCATCGAAGCACCGCAGCCTTAAACCCTTACAGTCCTAAACCCCCCCAGAAAACCCCAAACCCCCTAAACCCTGAAACCTGTAAAACGTAAACCCAAGCTCACCGTCACAAAGCACTGTGCAGCGTGATCAGAGGTGCTTTGCGGGGGTGGACTTCCGGTCCTGCGAAGGCCCTGGGGAAGGGTCAGAGAAGTCTCTGGGAAGTTTTCCTGTTTTTTTGCATGTTCTCTGTGGGACCCGGATTAGGGCCCTTCTTCCCTTTTTGGGGGTTTAGGTTTCCTTACAAGCCCCTTCAAACCGTAAATATCCGGTTAAACCAAACAGGGTGCCCTTTGTATTCAAATCGTTGAGAGTAGCCGCTCACTATAGTGACCGGAACGCCGTGACGCAAAACCCACCATCACGATACTCGGAAGTTGGCAATTCTTGGTGTGCCATGCGCATTTGTACGCCCATGAATGTTGAGCAATGTTTGGACTGGCAGCCATTTGGCCTTTGGCCCAAGTACTAGCGATTCTAGCTCATCTCCCCCTGGTGGCAATGGAGGAGGGCCCTGCGCAAGGGAAGCTGTCCATCGCAGCGGCTTGCGCCCAGGGATCTGGGCATCTGCTTCCCATCCTGAACATCTGCACCGAGCTCTCCAAACGAGGGCACAAAGTCAAGGTGTACATGCCGGACTTCGACAAAGAGAACACCGAGAAGTTGACTCGGAAAAGCGGATCGGAGTTCGTCCCTCTGGACTCGCAAGGCAACACTGAAGAGGGCATGAAAGAAAAAGCAAATCAGAAGGGCACGAATCAGTTCTTGCTCTGGGAAGAGATTATGTTGCCGGCTATGAGGAGTGAGTTTTCAAAGAGTCTCTCGGCATCTTTTGATATCCGGGGCCTGTCGAGTTCATGTGTTTAGGTTGATCTTCGTTTTGGTCCTTAGGGGGTGTGTGTGTGTGCCCGTTGTGTCCCGTTGCGCCCACGCATTGCGCACAAGTCGACCCAAGTCCTGGCCCTTCCCTAGGCAGGCCAGATGTGGTGCTAGCGGACTTCGCCACGCCTGCGGGAGCTGAGTTGGCTAAGGAGATGAGCATTCCCTTGGTGATTAACCTCCCCGGCTCTGTAACAGGAGCCAATGTTTTCACAGGAATGGCCGACGCTTCAACCGCCATCAACTTCCTGGGGCTGCACATCGCGCGGCAGCGCCTGAGTGTCCTGGCCTTTGCCAGATGGGCGAACGTGAAACTCGGTAGGCCCTTGGAACATGTCATGTGTTCCCGATCTAGAGTTTAGGGTTTAGGGTTATACGGTTTGGGGTTAGGGTTTAGGGTTTAGGGGTTAGTTAGGGTTTAGGGTTTGGGAATCCTTTTCAGAGAATTTGCCGCGGGCCATCCGAGGAAAGACTTCCACACCTGGGGATCAAGGATCCGTGGCCATGTTGGCAGAGGTGCGATCGTGCTGGTGCAGTCTATTTGGGGCCTTGACCAAACAACCCCGGTGTATCCCAATCTAGTGATGACTGGCCCAGTTCTACCGCCAGCCGCTGACCTGCGAGAGAAGTTAGCCAAAGACCACGGGGAGCTTTACAAGTTCCTCCGCGCGAGTGAGGGCGTTGCCGGTGTGGTGTACGTGACCACGGGAAGCCAGGTGAAGCTCTTCGACTGGCAGGTGCGGGCTCTCTACCACGGCCTCAAGCGAACCAAGTTATCAGTCGTTTGGAGCTTGAAGGAGGAGCTACAAGAGCTCCTGCCCAACAAGGACGACCCAGACTTCTTCATTAGCAAGTGGACGCCCCAGGCTGAGTTGCTGCAAGACCCCGCCGTCAAGGTGGTGATCACTCATTGTGGGTGGGGTGGCACCTTGGAGACCTTGGCTGGTGGGAAACCCATCGTGGCCATTCCCTTCTTTGCCGACCAGCCCGTCAATGCGGCGATCTTGAAGGACTGTGGTGTTGCGGAGCCCATCGGCAGGGTCCCGAAGGGAGTTGGTGGCGTACCGAATCCCTACAAAGAAGGCTGGATGACGGAGGACACCGTTTACGCGGCAGTGACTAAAGTCATGACAAACCCTTCCTACACGGAAGCAGCTCAGAAGCTAATGAAGTCTTCCCAAGCTTCCGGCGGTGCGGCAGCTGCGGCACAGCAAGTGGAATGGGCTGGGTGGTATGGCACTGACCACATGAAGCCCACCAACTTCGATCATGTGACGGGGTCCAACCCCTTCAGTGGCTGTTTCGCAGGGCTTCTAGCCGCGACTGCTGCTGCGGTCTACCTCAAATCAGGGCATCTAGCTAGCTTACTTTGTCATCTCTGACCTGACAAGAGTTTTCCGTTTTCACGGTTCCCTGCCACAGCAGGTCTGGACCTGCCCTAGGAGAAATTCTCGGTGAGGCCCTTCAGACATCTCACATGTTCCCTGATTGATTGTAAGAGGATCTTACTAAACCCTAAGCCCCAAACAACTAGACCCTAAACCCCAAACCCCAAACCCCAAACCCCAAACCCCAAACCCCAAACCCCAAACCCCAAACCCCAAACCCTAAACCCTAAACCTTCAACCAGAGTGTTCCAAAGGGCCACCCATCGTTTCTACCACTAAAAGAGACCGCATGGGGACCGGTGCAAGGGGCAGTGGATCCGAAAAGTCCGAAGAACACAAAGTTAGGGATTAAGGATTTTGGGGTTTAGGGTTTAGGGTTTAGGGTTTAGGGTTTTAGGGCACGCTGGGTCCACCTTCGGATGTTGGAAGAGCCCTACAACCTAGACCCATCTCAAGCCCCTCAAGCTCCCAAGAACCTAGAAGCCTTAACCCTAAACCCTAAACCCTAAACCCTAAACCCTAAACCCTAAACCCTAAACCCTAAACCCTAAACCCTAAACCCTAAACCCTAAACCCTATTTATAAACCCTAAACCCTAAACCCTAAACCCTAAACCCTAAGCCCTAAGCCCCAAACCCTAAACTCTAAACCCTAAACCCCGAACTCTAAACCCCAAACCCTAAACCCTAGGCTTAAAAGAAGGAGCGGCACCCAGCCGGCTTCTCCAGGCGTTCAAGGCGGTACCCTTTTTGATTGGGCGGCTTGCCTTAACCCACCCCCAAACCAAAAGAGAAAAGACAAGAAAGAAAGGGCATTTCCCAAAAAAAGGCACTCCCTGTATACCATAAGTAGACGAGAAGCCCCTTAAAAAGACCCCAAAAAGGGGCACCATCAGAAAGGAAGAAGAAGAGAGGAAAGACCGACCGAGGGGCCGCGTAGAGCAGCGGTAATGTGCCCTAAGAAGCCTTAAAAGAAGCCCCAGATCCCTGAATAGCCCCCCAGTAAACCTGGTTGAGGGTTTGGGGCCTAGGGTTTAGGGTTCAAGCCCTAGATTTTCTGAAGAGACCCATCAGTTCGACACTAACAAGGCCGGGGGTCTACTTTCAGAACTCCCTGCCCTTTCTGGTGCAGCTCTCTGGCAGAGGCGCCCTTCAGGCCTGCGTGGTGTGCTCGTCAGCTGTGAGCGTAGTGGCTGAAAGGCACTTGCAGGCGAGTGTGCGCGCAGCAGCTGCAGTCAAACCTGCCAGCCCCTTGCCAGGATCAAATCGGGAAGTTGAAGTCCGAGATTGAGGACATGGAATGCTGATGAATGTTGAAGTGTAGGTCTTACATCGTCTGCTCTCCAGCTTCACGTAAGCCTTTATATGCAACAGTTCGGGCTGAAGAACGGCAAAACCGCTGCACCAGCTTTTGACAACGAGAAGGAGAAGCTGAGCGCATCGCCCTGGAAGTTCCACTCTCAGTTCGCCTTACTCGGAGGTTCATGGTACTTTTCACTGTACTTCTGACCCATTTATAAGCCCCTTGAAGTGCCCTAATATGGTTATATTGCGGTTATAAGTACAGTTATTGGGTTAGTAAGTACCATGAACCTCCAAGGAATACACGATTCATGGTGCGTGTCATGTCAATCTGCAAGGCCCCGCGGTGACTATAAATTGATGGAATTGATGAAGGTTGGCTCGCTGCTCAGCTATTGCCGGGCCCTGATCTTGAGTTGCTATATGCTTTGCTGTAAGTTTGATGCAACGTCACGGACACGAGATGCTTGAGATTCAGTCGTACCGCCTGAGTCGCCCCTAGAGTTGTCCAATGCAAAATCTCGGACTCTGAATCCCCCCCATCGCAGAACGTGCAAGATGGGGTGTGCTGTTGGTCGCACTTGGCCTGGGGGTGGCAAGGGGGGCCTTCTTTGTTTTTTTTGGGGAGGACTTTGCAGAGAGAGGGATTATGTGTATATGCATATATATGTATATATGTATATATGTATATATGTATATATGTATATATGTATATATGTATATATGTATATATGTATATATGTATATATGTATATATGTATATATGTATATATATATATATATATAATTATATAATTATGTAGAAATGTACTTCTGCTATATATAGATAGATTGTAGGGGGGTTGGGGGTTCAGGCGAGCGAAAAAGAAGCACCGCGCCGCGAAGCCGCAAAGCGTCATAAACGAGACAAGGGTCTCAAGCGTCACAGGCGTCTCAAACTTTGACAGGCTCCGAGGCTTTTAAGCTTCGCGTGCGTCCTCATGCGTCTCAGGCGTCTCAAACGTGTCAAGCGTCCCAAAGCGTCTCAAGCGCCTCAAGCGCCTCAGGCGTCTCAAGCGTCTCAAGCGCCTCAAGCGTCTCAAGCGCCTCAAGCGTCTCAAGCGCCTCAAGCGTCTCAAGCGTCTCAAGCGTCTCAAGCGTCTCAAGCGCCTCAAGCGCCTCAAGCGTCTCAAGCGTCTCAAGCGCCTCAAACGTCTCGAGCATCTCAACTTATTGCTCCGACTCAACACCACAAGTTTCGGAAATGAGTGCTTCATCTTGAAATTTAGGGTTGAGGGTCGCTCAAAAGACCCCAAACGTCAAAAACATGCTCCCAATTGTACCTGTACACCATACAAAACATGCGCGCCAGATACACTCATGTTTATTCATTCAACACCGCAGGTTTCGGAAATGAGTGCTTCATCCTGAAATTTAGGGTTTAGGGTCGCTCAAAAGACCCCAAACGTCAAAAACATGCTCCCAATTGTACCTGTACACCATACAAAACATGCGCGCCAGATACACTCATGTTTATTCATTCAACACCGCAAGTTTCAGAAATGAGTAAATTTAGGGTTGAGCGTCGCTCAAAAGACCCCAAGCAGCAAAAACATGCTTCTAAGTGTACCCGTACACTATACAAAACATGAGCGCCACATACAAGCATGTGTCGTTCACTCAACACCGCAAGTTTCGGAAATGAGTGCTTCATCTTGAAATTTAAGGTTTAGGGTCGCTCAAAAGACCCGAAACGTCAAAAAACATGCTCCCAATTGTACCTGTATACCATACAAAACATGCGCGCCAGATACGCTCATGTTTATTCATTCAACACCGCAGGTTTCGGAAATGAGTGCTTCATCTTGAAATTTAGGGTTTAGGGTCGCTCAAAGGACCCCTAGCGGCAAAAACATGCTTCCAAGTGTACCTGTACACTATACAAAACATGCACCAGATACACTCCTGCTTATTCATTCAACACCGCAAGTTTCGGAAATGAGTGCTTCATCTTGAAATTTAGGGTTGAGCGTCGCTCAAAAGACCCCAAGCAGCAAAAACATGCTTCTAAGTGTACCTGTACACTTTACAAAACATGAGCGCCACATACAAGCATGTTTCATTCACTCAACGCCGCAAGTTTCGGAAATGAGTGCTTCATCTTGAAATTTAGGGTTTAGGGTCGCTCAAAAGACCCCAAACGTCAAAAACATGCTCCCAATTGTACCTGTACACCATACAAAACATCCGCGCCAGATACGCTCATGTTT